AGTCATATTCTACTTCCTTTAAGATGCCCAGTAGAGCTGACACATAGGAAGCAATTCTGAGAAAAATGCTGATGAGCCAGCAGAGGCTTGATTGTCATCGTAAGACTCCTTAATCAGGAGAAGGAAACTGTAGCCATTGCTACTCCCGTCACTATGCCACACAAAAGGATGTAGACGCTCTCTGTGCAAGGCCAACCAGGATGTGATGATCTTCTGGGCTGTGCCTAAAATATTTCAGATTATTTCCTTAGGACAGGATCCCACAAATGGAGTTATCAGGTCAACGTGTTCAGACATTTCTAAGGCATTTGGCCTAAGTATTTAGTTGAAGGAATAGAAGGACTAAATTTCAGTATTTGTAAGATGACTGTTAGTGATTTATTTGAGAAGGTGTAGAAGGATTCCAAACAATTATTGGCCAAGGCTAAACTAGAATGAAAGAGAAATATTCTTTCCAATGGGGGATCATTTTCAGATGCTCTCAAGCTCCCCATCATTGGAACTATTTAAGCCTTCTTTGACGGCTCCCGATTGTGTGAGAAATGACTCTGACCCTAGGTAGAAGTTGATCCACAGCAGTGTTTCCCAAACCAGCTTGTCTACCAGAACCATCCAAAGGGCTTTTAAAATTTAGACTCTAGGGGACCTCCCTGGTGGCCCGGTGGTTAAGACTCCACCCTTCAAATGCAGGAGGCCAGGGTTTGATCCCTGATTCAGGACTAAGATGCTACATGCTCCACAGGAAGGCCAAAAAAAGAAAACAATAAATTTTAAAAAGTTAAGACTCTAGACTCTGTCTACATAGTAGATCCTGCATATAACTCTTGCAAACCATGGAGCTCTATGCCCTTCCAACCATGATTCTAACATTGCTTGCTCCCAACTGTCATTCCATGATGTGACAGGTCTATCAGATATAGGTGATGGTATTAGAGAATAAAGCTCATGACTTCTCCTCTCATCCAAGAAGAGCTGACTCGCTGGAGAAGACCCTGATGCTGGGAAAGATCGAAGGCGGGAAGAGAAGGGGACGACAGAGGATGAGATGGTTGGATGGCATCACCGACTCAGTGGACATGAGTTTGGGCAAACTCCAGGAAATAGTGAAAGACCGGGAAGCCTGGCGTGCTGGAGTCCAAGTGGTTGCAAAGAGTCAGACACGACAGCAATGACCGAACAGCTAGAAATGCGGCATGCCCTGAAGGAACTCAGGAAAATTACATGCTGCCTCTGTTGTAGGGTCTGCCGTTGTGGAAACATCTCGCCTCTCCTAAACCCTTACTCTCTTGACTGAATACACGGGGATCTTGCAGCAGTGTACATGTTCAACGCCTGTTTATGTACGTGTGTCAGTGGCTTCTTTCCCCCACCGCCCACCCCTGCCCACAAGATGCCACCGTTGTGCAGCGGCTCACCATGTGTGGTCCCAGGCCGCTCAGCACTCACTCTCCAAGCCCCACCTCCCTTTCCCTGGTTCGGTCTCCAGTTAAGGAAGTCAGACCAGTGCTGTTCTCTCAAGGAGCTTCAAAGGCCTAAGAGCAGGAGCCCCAGGTGAGGAGTGAGCAAGCTCTGACCTGCAGCCTCCTCAAGCATAGAAGAGGACATTTGGCCCAAAGGCTCTCTAGGAAAACTTCTAGGGCTAGCTGCACGGGTCAGTTTTTCCCTTGAGCTTTTAATGATGGTGTCTGGTAGTATCATGCGGCTATCAAAAACAAAACACTTGTACCTAGGGCCCATGAGCCGCAACTACTGAGCCTGAGAGCTGTTAATGATTGAAGCCCAGAGCCTGACTCCGCAACAAGAGAAGCCTGTGCACCGCACCTAGAGAGGAGACCCCACTCCCCACTGCTAGAGAAAGCCTGCATGCAGCAGCAGAGACCCAGCTCAGACAAAAGTAAATACATCACATGTGAAAAAGCGAGGGTCAAAATAAGTTACTCAACTTGTTCTGAAAATGGTTTTAATGATAAATGTTTAAATGAATTAACATGACAGCGGCTCAGGTGGCCCACACTGAGCCAGGAGTCCTTTCCTGGATACGCCGAGTTTGAGGGCAGAGAAGGAGCTGTGTACATCTCTGGTACTCATTAACTGTGACAAGTGCCCACTATCGTCAGTGTGGTTTGAGAAAAATAGTTTTCTGAGACATGAATGTTTTTTATAATTTTCTCTCATTTTCTTAGAACTGAATTTTGCTTTTACTGGGGTTCCTTTTCCAAGATTTCTTTTGATATTAACATTCCTATTAATACTCTTAAAAAAACTGTGAATTTTGTACTGACTGTAGGATGAAGACAGATGCTCTTAAAACAAAGAATTAAGATTTTTGTTTTTGAGAGTCAAGGATCTATCCTGGTTCAGCTAGAAAGAGTTTAGATCTTTTCTGTTCTCTTCAGGACTTCCTAGTTTTGAAAACACTGGAGGTGTTTCGAAATGGACTTGTAAGCAAGCAGGAATTGGTACATTTTTGTGTTCTCAGTATTAAGGAGAGCAAATGGCTCAGGAAATATTTGTTGAATGAATGAATGGATATATGGAATGGGCATGTGAATATACATGAAGGAATCTATGGAAATACATGGCAAGCATTCATGGAATGTATTTATATAGAGTCTGACAGACCTTTATGAGCTTTGTGGCAAAAATAATCATTTTTCTGTAATCTTACTTTCCACTTGTAAAATGGAGATGATGGAACACAGCACAGATGGTTGTTCGATAAGACTGTGCACTGCCTGGGATTCTGCTGGCAGTCCAGTGGTTAAGACTTTGCTTTCCAAGGCAGAAGGTGAGGCTTCGATCTCTGGTTGGGGAGCTAAGATCTCACATGCCTCATGGCCCAAAAATCAGAACGTAAACAACAGAAGCAGCATTGTAACAAATCCAATAAGGAGTTTTTAAATGGTCCACATTAAAAAAAAAAAAAGACTACGCAGGCCTGATATAGAGTGTGACATGTGAGCTCTGATTCTAAAGGCTAAAAAAGAGCTCTGCCCTTCCCATTCAAAGTTTAAAACTATTTTTATGAGAGAGAGGGGATTATCAACTTCTAAATACATCAGTTGTTGACATTTTGCTAGGAATTCTTTTTAATTCTGTGATTAATGCAAGCTCACAGTAAAGCAGAACTCTCCCTTACTAGCCTGTGTGCATGCTCAGTCACTTCAGTCGTGTCCGACTCTGTGCGACCCCAGGGACTGTAGCCTGCCAGGCTCCTCTGTCCCTGGGATTCTCCAGGCAAGAGTACTGCAGTGGGTTACCATGCCCTCCTCCAGGGCATCTTCCCAACCCAGGGATCGAACCTGTGTCTCCTGGGTGACAGGAGGTCCCTTTTACCATTGAGCCACCGGGGATGCCCCTTGTTAAGCCTGGTATATGCTAAAAACTTGATTGTGTTGATTCATGGATGAATGGGTTGGTACACAATGGTGCCTAGGTTTCTGTATTGAGTCAGACCTTGGGGGTCAGGAGGAGAAGCCTCTATTTTTTCCCTAGCTTTCCAGGGGATTTAGAAGATGTCTGGAAACTCCTGATCCAGCTTCCCATGTCACAGGTGGAGACCTGGAGAGAGCTCTCCACAGATAGCCAAGGTGCTTTCTGTCCATTTCTGGTCGTCTGCCCTCACTAGATCACTCATGCAGTTTCTCATTTCAGTGCCCATTTTTACCCTGTCTGTTGTACGTTCTTGTGATTTGGGCCCCAGGGCCGTTGAGAGCCTGAACCAGGCTTGGGTGGTATTCTGCGGGGCTGGACTCTGGGCTATGCAAATCCAGCGACTGGCTCCAGGCCAGTAGGTAAATTCTATGAAAACAAGCTCACATCTACACCCTGGCAGAGGAAGCTGGGCAAGACCCCTCCCTCTGCCTGTTCACACAGGTGACCTCAGCACTCTGGCGCCATGGATCAGGCGCAGGGGAGAGCTGCTGGCGACGTGGAGGCAGCCCGGGGTGGAGGCTGAGAGCCTGGGCCCCAGGGCCAGGTGGCGCGGCCCACGTTCTAGGCCACACTTACTGTCTTTGCACCATGGGCCAGTTCCCTCTGCCATGAACCGGGGATAACATTACCCGCCTCTTAGGGTTATTACGAGGATTAAGTGGGCTAATATTTATAATGAGCCCAGAACAGGGCCTGGCATTTTGTAAGTCCTAGGTAAATGCCGGTCACTGCTCTGTTAAATGTTTCTTGAAGCACTTTCCATCTGTCTGGATCAGAGGTCCCTGGTGCCTCTTCAAGGGATGGGGGATTAGACCACACCAAAATACAGGGGATTCTCTGGTGGTCCAGTGGTTAGGACTATGAGCTTTCACTGCCAAAGGTCTGCACTCAATCCCTGGTTGGGTAACTAAGGTCCTGCAAGCTGTATGATGCAGTATACACACACACACACACACACACACACACTGCTTTGAAATGTAACTTTCTTCATTGGGTTACTGGATGGTCTCATCCTTTCCTGTCTCCTGAGACCTCCTGACCAAAGGGCTGGTCTTCCTCCAGTGAGACAAGCTGGAATCCAATTTTCTTTGAAGACACCTAGGCTGTTGTATTGAACTTTCCAGGAGGCACTAGTGGTAAAGAATACATTTGCCAATGCAGGAGACGGAAGAGACGTGGGTTTGATCCCTAGGTTGGAAAGATCCCCTGGAGAAGGAAATGGCAACCCACTCCAGTATTCTTGCCTGGGAAATCCCATGGACACAGGAGCCTGGCGGGCTACTGTCCATAGGGTGCAAAGAGTTGGATGGGGCTGAGCAGGCGCACAGGCTGTCACACTCGATTGTACCCATTCTTCTCTGCGGTCAGTGTGTAGCAAGCCCCGCTAGACTTGTGAGAACTTGACTCCTTCACACCCTGCCTTACCAGAGAGCCCTGGGGTCCCAGAAAGACAAGAGGTGGCGACGAAGCCCTCATGGTTTGTGGGTCAGTGTCCCTGAGTAAAGTCTCCGTAACCACGCAAGAAAGCGTCTGACCCAAGCGCCACCCCTGGAGCTAGAAAATCGATGTCTAATCAGACCAGCGCATCATCACTTATTACACCTGATCTTCCCCGAAGTGCTATAAAGCAAAGAGGTCAGCTGTCCCAGGGAAACAAAAATCCTAAATTTCACTGGCTTTTTATCAAGTTATTACTTTAAAAAATAGTAATCACTATTCTGGATTTTGTGCTAATCATTCTCTTGCTTTTCATTATAGCTTGACTTTATGTGCTACACCCTAAAATCAAACTTTCCATAAGCGGAATCATACTGTATGTGCTCTTTTGTGTCTTGACATATTTCTCAGATTCATGAGCATGGTTGAGTGTAGTGACGTATTTATTCCATTCCATGCCTATATCACTATTTATTAATGTCTACTCTGCTGTCAACAGAAATTTTGATTGTTTCTGTTATTTGCTTGCTTGATTGCTATTGCAAATCACGGTGCATTCTAGGGAATTCTCTGGTGTTCCAGTGGTTAGGATGCTTTCACCACTGGGGCCTGGGTTCAATCCCTGGTTGGAGAACTAGAATCCTGCAAGCCTTGCAGAGTGGCAAAAATAAATAAACAAATAAAGCCCCAACAAATCATAATGTGTTCCTGCAGATCTTACCTGCTGCCTTTGTGTAAATGGAATCACTTTCATTTCTATGAAGACTGTAGAATCTTTCCAATGACTGCACTTACATTTCTTCATTTGGACTTCAGAATAGCTCTGTGATGATTCTTCCACTGAAAGTTGGAAAGAATTTGCTCCTACCCTAAAATAAGGGAGGCCTGCCCTGGTGGCTCAGACAGTAAAGAATCTGCCTGCAATGCGGGAGACCCGGGCTCAATCCCTGGATTGCAAAGATCCCTTGGAGAAGGGAATGGCTTCCCATTCCAGTATTCTTGCCTGGAGAATCCCATGGACAGAGGAGCCTGACAGGCTACAGTCCATGGGGTCACAAAGAGTTGGACATGACTGAGCGACTTTCACTTTTAAAATAAGGGGAAACTGGGTAAAAGACAGCATGATACCTTTCCTTGGGCATTTCACACAGTAGATGTTGCAAGGCAGCTAAGTTGTTGGAATTCCAAAGAGGGAAAGGACCTGCCCTGAAGTGGGATATATGGACTGTTATACCTGTGGCCCAACACAGGAGGGGGAGACACCAGCCAGCATATAAGCAGGTAAGAAGAAATCAGCTCAAAAAAAAAAAAAAAAGAAATCAGCTAAAATTGTAACTAGAGGCTGAGTATCGGCGGGTATGACAGTGCAGCACCCCAGAGGAACCCAGACACGAGGAGATCCGGCCCTCACCTCCAGTTCTCCTCCCGGGGCTTCCATGGGGTGCTCACGAGAGCACTGGGGGCCCGGCGGGAGACCAGGGGACACACCCTCGCTGGGGTCTGACCACCGTGGTCACAGACACAAACCTCCACGTCCCCGCCTGGACTCTTCCAGCTGACGGAGCGTTAAGTTTCAGCCTCTGGGGAACGAGCAACAAGCCTCCACCTTCGCAGACGGTGAGGAAGGGGATAGCAAAGGGACTCGTCGGAGGACGCACAGGCATCCCTCGGCGCCGTGTGGGATCCTAATTGTGGTCATGGCTTTGAAGTAAGTTGAGTCAGCTGGGTTTGTGCAATGAAATAAGACAGCATCCGGCTGTTTCGGTGTTCGGTGCAGTGTAGGAGCAGTAGCAGCAGACCAGGGCTTGGTTCTTCCTAGCTGTCTCAGCTAAGGTGTCTTTTGATTGCAAGTAACAGAAACCCTCTCTGGAACTAGCTTAAACAATAAGAAAATGAATTATTTACCTTAAAGGAAAGTTCAGGGGTGGGTCAGGCTCCAAGGTTGGCTGATTCCGTGGCACGAGGAGTTCATCAAGGATCCAGGTTCTTTTTTTTTTTCAGGTTTCTCATGTACTTTGTTGTCCATGGATGGGTTTCTATCTCATAGTTTTGTCTTGTTCATGACATGTCTAAGGGAGGCAATTAGGCCTACTTGCTTCCTCATTCATGTAAAGCAGGAGAGAAAGAAAAGCTTTATTGCTTTATTTTTGGCCATGCTGAGTCTTGGTTGCTGCAGGTAGCTGTGGCAAGTGGGGGCTACTCGGGAGTTGGTGAGCAGGCTTCTCATTGTGGTGGCTTCTCTTGTTTCGGGGCACAGGCTCTGGGGCACAGTCTCAATGGCTGTGGCACATGGGCCGAGCTGCTCCTTGGTTGTGGGGTCTCCCTAGACCAGGGATCAAACCCGTGTCTCCTGCATTGGCAGGCAGATTTCTTTACCACTGAGCCACCGGGGAAGCCCCAAGAAAAGCTTCTTTAGCCAGGGAACACAGGGCTTTTCCTCCAGATGCCAGCAATGACCGTGGGAATGCCATGGGCTTGCTGGGTTCGGTCAGGCCTACTTCAGGAGGGACATGGGGTCACTAGGATGGATTTAGACCAGTGGTTCCCGAGGTGGGATTTTGGGACCAGCAGCATTAGCATCTCCTGATCGTTTGTCCAAAAAGTAAATTCCTGGGTCTCCGTGGAGACCTATTAAATCAGAAATTCTGGGTATGGGGTCCAGCAAGCTTTAGAAGCCCTTCAGGTTGATACTGACTCACAGTAAAGTTTGAGAACCCCTGGCTTAGGATAGCCTGGCGAACACCATGGATGACAGGAGGCTTCTGTTAGGAAGGAGAGTGTGGGTAACAGACCAGGTGAGCATCTCAGAGTGAGAGGCAGTCAGCAGAGTTAAGGGTGCTTGTCAGGGAACGGTTCCAGGGATGGGCTCTGAAGCCTACACAGGGAAGGGAAATGAAGGTTCACAGGAATGGCGGATGGTGAGGAAGTGGGGCTAGTGAACCGAGGAGCTCAATGAGGCCGCAGAATTGAAGTGAGCCGGCAGTGACGGCCACGAGAATGGACGCGCAGACCTCCAGCTGCGGGAAGTATAACGGACCAAGGGTGCTCTGTCTGCACCAAGATCACACTGACCACAGGCTGCTTCCAGCCAGGCGGGGGTGGCAAAGGTACTAAGGCCTGAACTGGATTTCAGAAAGACTGAGTCTCCTGGAGTTGTATGTGCACTTATGTTGTGTGTGTATGTTTATGCATTTGAGGGGCATAGAAAGGGGTTGGGTCCACGGCTTTCATTATTTCTCAAGAGTTCATGACCTTAGAAATATTAACAGTAAGCCACTTCTTTTGAGAGAAAACTATTTGAACAAGACCTTAGGAGGTAAGGATGTGAAAAGTCTGCCCTTAAAGCAGATCTGTTGTAGTATTGATAGTTCTCCAGCTTTCGGTTAAAAGAAAAGTCACTTTAGCTTTGTGGTCGTACAAGAGATATGCTGGAACTTTGTGGGAAAATAATAAAAGGGGGATGGTTTATGCAATAAATAGGAATTAATTTTTCTCCTTAAAAAATCCTATGATGTAAGAGGACTTTTACCTCTGGAACACTGTCCTGGGAAATTGAGAAAGAAAAATAAAAAAGCATCATAGCTTTTCTTTCCTTTCTTTCTTTTTTTGTGGACACTTAAATAGTCTTAGGTGTTTTCATCATAATACGTGAAAGTTTTCATGAGAACGTTATAGGTACAACAGACAGCTACTGGAAATCGCAGGACAAACCTAATTGTGTGACAAAAAAGGCCAAATAGAGGAGGAAAGTCTGCAAAGCCCGTTTTTCAGGCCTGTTCTTGCCAATAAACAGTAGAGGGAGCAGCACACCACAGGGACGCTGCGGCTCTCGGTACTTCATGGTCGGGATTCAACTGTGGATACGCTGAATCATACACAAGAGATCGGCAAAAACGCGGAGGGGGAGCACCCCCTTCCCTGTATACTCGTCGCGAGGGGCCTGGCAGACGGACCCAGGCGTCCGTTCCGGCTGGGGGGCAGTTGCGGACCCCAGAGGGAGCGTCTCAGGCCCGAGCAGGTCCTGATGCCGAAGCCCTCCACCAACTGTTCTTTTAAGAGTGAAAAGCCAACCTCACTTCCTGTCCTTGACAGGTGACCAAGCTGGTAAATTAACAGACATACTGATAGGTTAGTGAACACGCTGACATTTTTACGATGAGAAGAAAATGATGATATAGACGGGAAATTGATATCAAGTTCATTTACTTATTTTTATCCACAGTTATCTATCACCTGCTCTGAGCTACAACAGTTACATTCCAAGTGTAACCGTGACTCGGGCATTGATACCTGGAGGGAGGTCTTTAGAGGCAGCCTTCAGGCTGTTTTTGTTGTTATTTTGTTAATTGCAGCAAAAGATAAACGACATAAAATTCACCAATTTAACCTTTTTATTTTTTGGCAGCACCACCAAGCTTACAGGATCTCAGTTCCCCAACCAGGGACTGAACGTGGGCCAATGCAGTGACAGACCAGAATTCTAACCACTAGGCAACCAGAGAATCCCCTCCATCTTAACCATTTTTAATGTATGTGCTCAGACGCTCAGCCGTGTCCAGCTCTTTGTGACCCCATGGACTGTAGACCCTCAGTCTCCTCGGTCCATGGGGCTTTTCAGACAGTGCCGGAGTGGGCTGCCATTTCCTCCTCCAGCAGATCTTCCCCACCAGGGAATGAACCCTTGTCTCTCACATCTCCTGCTTTGGCAGATGTATTCTTACAGGCACTTATGGTGCATTAAGTACATTTTTGTTGTTGTACAACCGTCGCCACCATCCACCTCTAGAACTTTTTCATTTTCCCAAATTGAAATTCTATATCTGCATTCTCCCTTTCCCCTCAGGCTTTGGTAACCTCTAATTAAAGTGAAAGAGGAAAGTGAAAAAGATGGCTTAGAAGCTCAACATTCAGAAAACTAAGATCATGGCATCTGGTCCCATCACTTCATGGGAAATAGAGGGGGGAACAGTGTCAGACTTTATTTTGGGGGGCTCCAAAATCACTGCAGATGATGACTGCAGCCATGAAATTAAAAGACACTTACTCCTTGGAAGGAAAGTTATGACCAACCTAGACAGCATATGAAAAAGCAGAGACATTACTTTGCCAACAAAGGTCCATCTCATCAAGGCTATGGTTTTTCCAGTGATCACGTATGGATGTGAGAATTGGACTGTGAAGAAAGCTGAGCACCGAAGAATTGATGTTTTTGAACTGTGGTGTTGGAGAAGACTCTTGAGAGTCCCTTGGACTGCAAGGAGATCCAACCAGTCCATCCTAAAGCAGATCAGTCCTGGGTGCTCATTGGAAGGACTGATGCTGAAGCTGAAACTCCAATACTTTGGCCACCTCATGAGAAGAGTTGACTCATTTGAAAAGACCCTGATGCTGGGAGGGATTGGGGGCAGTAGGAGAAGGGGATGACAGAGGATGAGATGGCTGGATGGCATCACCGACTCGGTGGGCATGAGTTTGAGTAAACTCCGGGAGTTGGTGATAGACAGGGAAGCCTGGTGTGCTGTGATTCATGGGGTCGCAAAGAGTCGGACACGACTGAACTGAACTGAACTGAATGTTTGTCTGTTTGAATTTGCCTACTCTAATTTCCCTGTATAAGTGGAATAATTTCCACTCTTATGTCTGGCTTATGTCACTTAGCATAACATCCTCAAGACTTGTTCATGTCAGAATTTCATTCCTTTTTAAGGCTGAATAATAATTCCATTATATGTATGTACGACGTTTTGCTTAGCCATTCATCCACTGATGGACACTTGGCTTATTTCCATTTAGCAATTGTGAATAATGCAGCTATGTACATGGATGTACAAATACCTATTTGAGAGCTTGCTTTAAATTTCTTTGAGGAGTGAAGTTGCTGGATCATATAGTAATTTTGTGTTTAAATTTTTGAGGCCCTGCCATACCATTTTCCACAGCAGGTTGCATCATTTTACATTCCCACCAACAGTGCATAAGGACACCATTTTCCTCCACATCCTTGCCAACACTTGCTTTCTGTTTTTTGATGAGAGCCATCCTAATGGGTGTGAGGTGGTCTCTCACTGTGGTCTTAACAGGCTCTGATTTAGACTAATTTTGTTCACAGTTTTATCCATGATTTTGATGTGCAGAAAATCAAGTACACCATATAGAACTGGAATCCATGGCTTAGTTAAAAAAAAAAAAGTAGTGATTTTTCTAAATGTGACTTTATGATGAGTGAAACGGCAAATGTTGATTGTAATGTCAGACCACGTTAGCCGGGAACAAGCATCTAGCACAGTGCTTCCCTGTCTTGGTAGCACACCAGAACCACCTAGAAGATATGAAAAACACTGATGTCAAATTCTCAAGAAAGTCAGCAAAAGTGGTCTGGGATGCAGCCCGAGCATCAGGATTTTTAAAAGGTTCTCAAGTGATTCCAACGTGCAGCTCAAGTTGAGACCCTTAGCTGTTGCTGTTCCATTGGGTTCAGGCCCAGTGGGGCTTCCCTCAGAGACCAGTTGGTAAAGAAGCCACCTGGTTTGATTACTGGGTCAGGAAGATCCCCTGGAGAAGGAGATAGCAGCCCACTCCAATATTCTTGCCTGGAGAATTCTTGTCTATTCCATGGACAGAGGAGCCTGGCAGCTACAGTCCACGGAGTTGCAAAGAGTCGGACACGCCTGAGCAACAACACTTTCACTTTCATACCTTCATCATCAT